AGCCCCCAGCGGAAGGGTTCGCATGGCGCCGCCGCGCCCATTTCGGCACACCCCTCGCACGTTTCGTGGCCTCCCTCTTTCGTCGGAATTGCCTCTCGATACTTGCAGCTGCATATGTTTGGGCCCTTCGCTAGGATAGCTACCCATACCCGTAGACGCGTGTCATAGCCGACCGGGAACACAAACAAATACATCGTGTTATGCGCTTTCGGAAAACAAGGGGGAGTTACGTGCTTCTAGGAGGAGAAGGAGGAGGTGGCGGCTGAGCAGGAGGATGGGCAGGAGGAAAAGGAGGATGAGAAAATAGGAGGACGAGGACAAACAGCAGCATCATGAGCTGGGGTGGAGCGGGAAGGGCAGGAGGACCAGGGTAAGACGGAGGAGGGGAAATTCGGCGGGCGACAACGATGAAAACGAACTCGGATCCAGAAAAGTGGCCAGTGCTTGGGCGAGAGCGCCATTCGGAATGACGGGAGCGAAATGCCGATCCGAAAATGATGTCCGCGCTGCAGCGGGGACATTGTGTAGAAACATTTAATACTTGTAATATTAAAAATAATGATAAGTATAATTGTAATAATACTAGTAATAATAATAAAACGAATAATAAAAGTAATAATAGTAATAATAATGATGATGATGATAATAATAACAGTAATAATCGTAATAATAATAAAAATATTATGATTAGTCATAATAGTATTATAATAATAACAATAAGAATAATACTATTAATAATAATGGTAAGAATGATGATAATAATAATGACGATAATAACAACAGTAATAATACTAATACTAATGATACTACGAATAAAAATAATAATACTAATACTAATAATACTATTATTAATAATAATAATGATGATGATGATAATGATAATGATGATAATAATAATACTAATAATAGTAATACTAATAATAATAATAATAATACTAATAATAATAATAATAATAATAATAAATACTGCCCAAGCACACGGGGAACACGGTTGTCCAACCTTGTAGAAGAGAACGGCGCGCGGAGAGGGTTGGACATCTTCCGGACAGGGTCAGGGGAGAGAGGAGTGTAGTATTCAGGTTGTGAAATTGTGGAAAGGAGGAGCGCAGGAGGAGGAGGAGGAGGAGGAGAAGAAGGAGGAACGGGAGGAGGAGGAGGGAGGAGGAGGAGGAGGAGGAGGAGGACAAGGAGGAGGAGGAGGAGGAGGAGGAGGAGGACAAGGAGGAACGGGAGGAGGAGGAGGGAGGAGGAGGAGGAGGACAAGGAGGAACGGGTGGAGGAGGAGCTGGAGAAGGAGGAGGAGAAAGAGGAGCTGGAGGAGCAGGAGGAGGAGGAGGAGGAGGAGGAGGAGGAGGAGGAGGGAGGAGGAATTGGGGAGAGGAGGATCACGAGGAGGACGAGGAGGAGGCTTTCTTGGGCGATATAGGGTCTTCCTGCGGCCGCAAATTGCCGCTCAGGGGGCTTGGCGCCTCTGCGAAGATCGCTTTCGTATCAGACTGGCAGTGTTGAGAATATTGCAGGTCAGGGAAGGCTAATGGGATTGATGATGACGAGGAGGACGAGGTCCAGGAGGAGGGGTTGAGGGAAGCAATGAGGGTGTCACGGAGCCAAGTGGGTTACCCATTAAACAACAGGGTGGCGCGGAGGTAGGTACACACTAAATTCGGCGGCGAGCCCAGGGGGGGAAGAGAGAAGGGGCGGGCCTTCTCAGAAGGCTCGGAAGTCCCCTGGCCTTTTGAGAAGTTGTCTAAGTCTTCCCCAGAGACACAGACAGCTTCTCAGGAGGTGCGAGGACTTCTGAGAAGCCCCGTCGCCTTCTGAGAAGGCCTGTTCCTTCTCACTTCCCCCCCCTCGCTCGCGTCCGATAAACGACACCGGCGACTGCGCACGCGAGGTCGTCTTTGGTTCAGCATGTCGGCCCTCTGGTCGGGAGGCGCGCGCCAAACGACCCCCCCCCGACCGTGGAGTCTGGACTGAGCTTCCACGCTTGGGCTCCGGACGGCCGCCCCGTCGACTCTTCGACCCCGAATCGTAGGATCCAGGGCAGAATCCTCCTCGTCCTTCTCCTCCGCCTCCTTCTCCTCCCTTCTCCTCCTCCTCCTCCACCTCCACCTCCTCCTGCTCCTCCTGCTCCTCCTCCTCCTCCTCCACCACCTCCTCCTCCCCCTCCTCCACCTCCTCTTGCTCCTGCTCATCCTTCTCCGCCTCCACTCCTCCACCTCCTCCTGCTCTTCCCTCCTCCTCCTCCTCCTCCTCCTCCTCCTCCTCCTCCTCCTCCTCCTCCTCCTCCTCCCCGACCCAGGGTCGCGAGCAGGAACAGGTGCGTAATCGGGTGTTGCTAGAAGTGCCCCTGGCTCAAGGCGCCCCCGGGATTTCCAAGGAGGCCCCCGCGGCCCCCAGAGCACCCCCCACGAGGTCCAGAGGGGCCCCAGAGTGGAGCGACAAGTTGGGGGCACCTCGGGCCAGGGGCACCGCGCTCGCAACCTCCGACCCAGTGGAGGCGAACCACTTTGCGGGCAGGGACCACAACTACGGCTGGGAGTCCAACAAGTCGCTGCTGAGCTACGGCCTCATCGAGCGCGACAGCCAGGGCCGAGGCTACCAGACCGGCTTCAGAGGCCCCCAGGACCGAGGCCCATGCCACAGGGGCTCAGCGCCAGCGGGGGAAAGAGCAAACCCCCTCCGGCTGACCCAGTTCCACGGGGCCCAAAGGTATACACCACCACCACCTGCCTCATCCCCTCCCTCCCCCAGGAAAGAGGAGAGGAAGATGAGGGTGGAGGAAGGAGGAGGAGGAGGAGGAGGAGGAGGCGGCGGAGGAGGAATCGACGTGGCGTGTATTCTTGAGGCCACCAGGTTCGGGGGCTGCGCGGGGCCTACTCCCCCCGTCTGCCTTCCGTTGGCATGGGTCCAGGAGCCACCGAGCGGCCAGCCAAGCTTCGCGACAGGGCCCTGGCCGGCCCAGGCTTGCACTGCCCTGGGTTAGTGCTCGGTGGCAGAACATGGGAGCCTGGTGCTTAGTGGGCCCTGGAAACGACAGGGCCGTTTTTTTGCCGGTTCCAACGCCGTTTTCTTTCCGGTTCCGTCGCCGTTTTCTGACCGGTTCCGGCTCCAGTTCCAATCCTGGAGCCGTTTTTGTTGCCGTTTCCGGTCGCCGTTTTTTTTGGCCGCGTCCATCTTCAAGGGACATTTTCTTGGAAACGGTGAAAAAAGGGCCCTGCCGCTTCCGGGGCCCACAAAGGCCTGGTGCACCCTCTCAATGCCGTCTATAGCGCCGACTACCGTCCTGGAGTCGATGGGGTAGCGCCGAGTTAGCGTCGGTTAGCGTCGATTAGCGTTGATTCAGCGTCGACTTCGCGTCGATTGCCAGGAGCCGCAAGATGGCATGGAAGGCTTCCGTGAGTTGCCACCGAATTAGCGCGTCCCCTACAGGACCGGATCCGGCTTACCGAGCAGGGCCGCAGTTTCCTGGTCCAGATGCTGGCGAAGTTCGGGGAGCCAGAGCAGGGGCCTGGCGGCGCCGCCGCGGATGACCTCGCCATCGGCGGCGATCCGAGGCCATTTCATGGCATCGCCGCTGCGCCGCCCCGACCGACCTCGAACGCGCAGAAGCAGGACGAGGAGGAGCTGCGGCAGTGGATCGATTCGTCGCCCCTTGGCTCGGAGAGGGACTTTCATATCGGCAAGGATCGTCGGAAACATCTGCACCGGGTCATCGAGAGCATCAACGTATCGTCGTCGGCGTTCCTTCTGCTTCACGACTCCCACGGGTATGGGAGGCACCGGAAGATGATCGTCCGCAAGGTCGCCCGCGCAGGCAGTTCCAGCGCCAGCGCCAGCGGCATTACAAGGTTGCGCGCGTTGGGCGGCAGCGCGCCGTCCTCGGACCTTGGGGCCGCCGCCCGAGCCGGCGCTGGCGCGGCGCAGCACATCGCGGCCCTCGGCACGCTGGCCTCGGCGGAGCTCGGCGAGCCGCCCGCGGGCACCGCTCCCGCTGCCGCCCCCGCTGCGCAGCAGCGAGCGCTCTGGCGCGGCCCGGGCCGGCGCCTCGGCAGCGGGACGGCGCAGCCGAAGAACCCACGGGAGGCTGCCCTGGCCGCCGCCGAGCGGAGGGCCAGCGCGGGCGGCCCGGCGCCTCCAGCGAAGCGGCCCTGCCAGGGCCGCGAGGGCCGCCCCCCCGCGGGCCACCCCGTGGCCCCACCCGTGGAGGCCAGCAGCGGCAGCAGCGGCAGCAGCGGAAGCCGCAGCGGTTGCGAGGGCGATGCAGGCAGCCTCCCTGCCGGCGCGCCCGTGCCCGAGGCAGGCGCGGGCGGCGTGGAGTCCGAGGACGAGGACATGCGCGAGGCCATCCGCCTGTCCTTGACCTGCACAGCGCCGCCCGCTTCGGCATCTGTCGCTCGAGAGCCGGCTGGCCGCGGCACTCCGTCTCGACGTGTCTTCTCGAAGCTCATGTCGGCAGCCGCCACGCTGGACCTAGATAGCTCCTCCGAGCACGAAGCTGAGGCCCCGGGCGCTGAGGCCAAGGTAGGGCCACGAGCCCCCGGCAGCTTGGAGGCGGGCCTGCTTGCCGCCGAGGCCGCCCAGGCCGACGAGCTGCAGCGTCTAGAGCAGGTCGAGGAAGACAAAACGGCGTACAGCGGAGCATCTGATTCAGAAATCTCTTCCCGAAAAGCAAGGCCGGCGTTTCTCCGCCAACTCGCCGGAAGGCTGAACCAGTTTCTTGAGCGCGTTCGCCCCCCCCAGCGTTAACAAGAACAGGCATGAGCCCAGGCTATTTTGAAAAAAAATCCTGGAAGTTGGCCCAGCTTTCTTAAGTCATGATTTGCTGGATCACATTTTCGGCTATGCGTTCACGGAGGTCCGCGTGGATATCTTGGATTGGTGCAGGGCCCGCCTGCGCGCCATGGACGGCGCTGGAGGCGCCGCCACGGGGGCCCAGCGCGGATCCAGGAGATCCACGCGGAGATCCGAAAGCTTACGTTCATATAGTTCTTGTTTTCCCAAGCAGGGGCAGGGGGTGGCCCGGGCGGCCGAGTTCGCTCTTGCATTGGTCGTCGACCTCAGAGAGCGGGGCAGCAACCGCACGCCCAGGAATATTTACGAGGCGGCCCAGCAGCAGCTTCGAGGCGTCGTCCCCGTGGAGTTCAGGGCCCTGCATATCGGCGACTATCAAGCTGCCTGCGGTAAGTCCCGCCACCGTGCCAGCCCAGCTTTCTTGGTTGCAATTCTCGAACCGACGATTGTGATGACGATGATGCTGATGATGCTAATGATGCTGATGATTATGATGATTCTGATGATTATGATGATGATGATGATGATGATGATTATGATGATGATAATGATGATGATGATGATGATGATGATGATGATGATGATGATGATGATGATGATGATGATGATGATGATGATGATGATGATGACTGGTGTTGATCATACTTACGATGTTGATGGCGATGATGACGCTGATATGTAGTCTTATGATGGTACCGATCATGTTGATGCTGATGGCGATGGTAGTGATGTCGACGATGATGATCATGATGCTGATATTGATGACGATGACGATGATGTTAACAACGATGATCTTGATGGTGCTGATCATCATGATGACGATGCTGGGTATGATGATGGTAACGATGATTAGCATTATCAGGATGGTGATGGTGATGGTGATGGGAAAGTATGGAGGAGGAGGAGGAGGAGGAGGAGGAGGAGGGGGAGGAGGGGGAGGAGGCGGAGGAGGAGGAGATGATTGCGGCGGACGAGGGGGATAAGTAACAGGATGATGACGATGATTATGGTAATGTTGGTGGTGATGATGATGATGATGATGATGATGATGATGATGATGATGATGATGATGATGATGATGATGATGAACACGACAAGGATGATGCTGATGTTGATGATGAGGAGGGGGACGATGATGAGGATGAGGACGAGGACGATCATGGGGGTGACGAAGCGAAGATGGGCGAGGACGAGGACGAGGATGAGGGTGAGGATCAGGACGACGATGGGGGGGAGGAATGATAATGAGAGGGGAGCCGTCATATGTGGCACGTTATCGTCTCCCCTTATCGAGGAACCTTCTTGAACCTCATCTGGGCACTCTTGGGGCTGTTCTGGGCTCCTGTGGCGTATTCTTGGGAGTCCACTGGAGCCTTTTGGGGCCGTCTTTGGGACCCATTGGGCAGTCTTGGAGCTTTCTTGGAGCCTTCGTAGCAGCCTGGGGGGGCTCTTGGGGCCGTCGTGGGGGCGTCCTTGGTCGTCCAGGGGTCAACTTGGGCCGTTTTGAATGCCTCCAGAAGTTTTTGTAGCGCCAGTGGGGTCCTCTCAGGTCCGTCCTGGGTTGTCTGGCGGTTCTCTGGGGCCGTCTTGGGGCCAGATTGGAGGCTTCAGGGTAGTCTTGAGCTCACGGAAGCCCGAACAGGTGAGAATGCACAACTTCTTCAAGAGCATATGATCAATCAATGGTTTGGGCATCTTCGGGCCCCGATGGAGGTTCTCTTCGAGCCCTCTTGGGCCATCTGGTCTCTTTGGCAGTCCTGAGCCATCTTTGGCAGTCTTGGGGCTATGTCGGGCCGCCTTGGGAGCATCTTGGGCAATCGTGGTGGCTTCGGAGGCTTGCCTGAGCCGTCTTGGAGGCCATCTTGGGCAGCCGAGCCGTTTTACTCGGGCCCCCCCCCCCCACGCACACACACACACACACATTCACTCACTCACTCACACACACACACACACACGCACACACACACACACACTTTTGATCTGCGGGGCGAGGGCGAACCTCTTCCGCTAAAAGCTAGGCGGGCTACGCACAGCTTTAATTAGGGAGACATGGCACAGGAAGGCGGGGCCTCAGGCGGCCGGAGCGGGCGGGGCCCGGGGAGCACAACACACACACACACACCGACACACACACACACACACGCACGCACACACGCACACACGCACACACGCACACACGCACACACGCACACACGCACACACGCACACACGCACACACACACACACACCGCCCCCACCCCCCCACCCCCCCACCCCCGGCGGGGAAGGGATCCCAGGGACGTGGCCTTCCCTCAACTTGGTGGGCGCCTTGGACGGCGCCAGGGCGGCGCCGGCGCACCCAGCGAGCTTCAGAAGAAGGGGGGACGATGCGCGCGGCACTCCGCTAGAAGACGGGGGAGCCCTCAGTCGGAAACTGGAGCATATAAATTACCAGTGGCGGGCGGTGTTTCAATCCCGGGACTTTTTTGCTGGTCGGGGACGACGTCGGGATGGTGTGGTGTATATTTGTTGTCCCCGCTTTCCCGGTGAGACAACGAAGAGCGTATACACCAGGATCCCGTGCACACCAGGATCCGCTTTCCTATGCGAGATTCAGTGCGAGGCCAGACACAGGCGTCGGTGAGGAGGGGGAGGAGGGGGAGGAGGGGGAGGAGGAGGAGGAGGAGGAGGAGGAGGAGGAGGAGGAGGAGGAGGAGGACAAGGACGAGGAGGAACAGCAGGATGAGGCGGAGAAGGAGGAGGAGAAGGAGGAGCTCGGTTCCCTACCTGGAAGGCCTGCCAGACAGCCCCCCTGCCAGGCAGCCCCTGGCACTCCACCGCGCCTCCGCGTGCCCGGGGGGCACGGTGGCGGGCCTGTGGCTCGGGCAGCGCGCCGAGTCCGACGCCCCGCCGCGCTGCCTCGCCTGCATCGAGCGGAAGACGGTCTCCTGCCGCCGGGGCGATCTGTCTGAGCCCAGCCCGCCCCGGAGGAGGAGGAGGAGGAGGAGGAGGAGGAGGAGGAGGAGGAGGAGGAGGATGGAGGAGGATGGAGGAGGATGGAGGAGGATGGAGGATGGAGGATGGAGGATGGAGGAGCCGTGCCCTGGTCGGAGCGGGTCGGGGGCGGATAGACCTCCTACCCTGACACGTCGATTGGCGAATTGGCGCCGTTTTCGGTTCGCGAGGAGGCGTCGTGGCCGTCGTTTTTGCGGGCCCAGGTCCGTCGGTTTCGGTCCCAGGCCGTTTTCACCAAGGGGAGGTTTGCTAAAGGGAGGTTAGGGTGCCGACCAGTCATTCACAGCCCCTTGGGCGCGTGGCCGAAGCAGGGTTCCTTGGTGCGGAGTGTTGTTGTTGTTGCTGCTGTTTGTTGATGTTGTTGTTGCTGTTGTTGGTGCTACTGTTGTTGAATATTCATTTCTGAAGAATAATTATTGCTGATCCCTGGAAGCGGTTCCGCGCGCTCTCGCCTCGACGCTGGCTACGTTTTCTTTGAAAACGAGGCTCCCGCTCGAGCGTTGGCTTGAGCCTAAGTGTGGGCCCTTGGAGGCCCAGCTACGACAACAACGGCTCCCACTTTATATTTCCTCGCAATTTACCCCGAGACACCCTGGCCAGAGAGGCCCCCGAACTCAGGAACGGCGCTCTCGCTCGAGACTTCCTCGCACGTCAACTCAGTTGGCGGAGGCCCAGCCACGACGACAAGGGCTCCTGCTCAATACTTCCTCGCGATGTACTCCGAGAGCCCCTGGCCAAGAAGGCCCCCGAACTCAGGAACTGCGCTCTCGCTCGAGACGTTCCCGTAATTCAGGCAAGTTGGTGGAGGCCCGGACACGGCGACAAGGGCTTCCATTCGATATGTTTCCAAAGGTATTCCGAGAGCCCCTGGCCAGAGAGGCCCCCGAACTCAGGAACGGCGTTCTCGCTCGAGACTTCTTCGCATTTCAGTCAGTGGCCGACAAGGAAGATATTCCCACCGAAAGGGGGCGCAATCGAAGACGAAGTGGGTGGGTGTCGAGGGTTGGGGTATACGGAACGCAAGACACGCGTGCCAGGAACAGTCTTAAAATTTTATCGTTATTGTTGTTGATTGACACGTGACCTAGTCGCCCGGGCCCCCCCCACCAGCAACCAGCAACCGAAGTTTCATTTCGGCGCACCGCTCTCGAGGACCGTGGCCCTGGCCCCACAGGGACCTCCACCGACGGTTCATTTCAGTACACCACTCTCGAGGATCGTGGCCTTGGCTTCACAGGGAGCTCCACCGAAGGTCTATTTCGGCACACCCCTCTCGATGATCGTGGCCTT